TGAAGATTGCCAGCGTGGGGGCTTGCCAAAAAAGAGATAAAGGGAAGGTGTTTGTCTTAGAATTGCCAGATTACTTGATTTTTTTTATGTCAGGAGCAACTTGAAAAACTGCAAGTTGTTTCTGGTGTAAGATAATTGGCAGTCTGCAAGGATGTTTCCCAGAGGATTCCTGGATGTTTTACCATCCTGTGGGAAGCTTCTCTTATGTCCTTGCATGAGAAGCTAGAGCTGACAGACAGGAGCTCACCCCACTCTCCAGATTTGAACCACCGACCTTTTGATCAGCAGTCCTGCCAGCACAAGGGTTTGATTGTGCCATCGGGGGCTCCAAATGACTTGATGGCACACAAGAACAAAGGCTCCAGTTTTATTTACTATTTCTTGAATGAGCCTAACTAATCCTATTAAGAATTGAAAAAAAAGAGAAGAAGGGAACCAACAGCATTTATAAGTTGCAAACTTCCCTAGAGGACAGTCTTACTTGCCATTGGTGACTGGCTAAATTTAGAAGCCAGATCTGAATAGTTTCATTCGGTGTCGCATCTGATGCCCAATATGGGACATCTGTTGACCTATTTAAGGCTTGCAGATTAAAACAGCACTCCAATACACTCTTTTCTGAGGCCAAAGTCACATTGAACTTCACGTGGCTTCTTTTTAAGTAGACATGTATATGTTTCTGTTAGAAATGAAACCCCTTGCTTTGGTTAAATACACTCTTCCTGAAATGAAACTCATTCTATCTAGTGAGTTACAGTGCCCATTTCCATGAGACAACAGATGTGAGCCAGCTCAGGGGTGTGCAGTATAGCCTCCAACAATGCTGATCCAGAGTTCCTCAGTCTGGATCAATATTCCCTTTTCTGGCCAGTGAAGATGTACCCAAAAACATGTGTCCTTCCTTGCAGTCATTGCTTAATTTGCATGCAAAGATAGAGTGATGAAATTGCCAACAATGTGTATAATAGAGCCAGTAATATATTTTTTAAAGTACAGTTGGGTCTCTGTATCCATGGATTCTGCATCCATGGTTTGAAAATATTCACTAAATAAATACATAAATATATACAATTTCCAAGAGCAACTCTTGATTCTGCCATTTTATATAAAAGATACCATTTTACTAGGGAGCCCTCGGTGGCACAGTAGGTTAAACCGCTAAGCTGCTAAACTTGTTGACCAAAAGGATGCAGGTTCGAATCCGGAGAATGGCTTGAGCTTCCTCTGTCAGTCCCAGCTTCTGCCAATCTAGCAGTTTGAAAATATGCAAATGTGAGTAGCTCAATATGTACCGCTCCAGCGGGAAGGTAACTGCAGTCATTGCAATCATGCCAGAGGAGGAAAACCTTTACCTTACCATTTTACTATGCCATTGCATATAATGGGACTTGAGGGTCCATGAATTTTGATTTTGTCAGGGGGTCCTGGAACCAAACTCCCCCCCCCCCCATCTTTCTTTGGTCCAGACTCCTGGTTTCCCCTGCAGCAGCTGCTAGGAAATCTCTTGCTTAAGAGACTAGAGTGAAATGGTCTTCTGCAACAACATCAGGAAGCTTACAAAGGGAAGAAACGGTTGGCTAAGAGGTCATTTTCTTGCCCACGGTTGCGTTTCATTGCTTAACCATACCAACAGAAAGATGGGCAGGATAAAGGATGCAATTAACACAACCCTCCTTAGCAACTGTCTAGCAACTGACCAATTGTTTTGCGTCAATCTGTTTGAGCCAAGATTGACAATATTAGTTACCAACCCCATCTCCTTTTTCTCTCCCTTCCCTGGTATATTTAGAAGTCTTGCAGATGTTGTTATACTTCAGTTCCCATCAACTATAGAAGGTGGAGCTTATGGGAATTTGAATGATCAGCACAACATGGACAAGTGATGGGTCACAAGTTCTCCACTCTTGTTTTAAAAATAGATTGGTCTGTCAATGTTAGTGTTTAAGGGATGAACCGATTATTTGCAAATCTTGATTTCTGTAGATTTCAATGACTAATGTGTGTTATCCCCCAATGGGTTTATGTGGCTGAACGGGGATCTAAATTCTGGTTTCCAGAGTTGTAGTTCAAGGCTCCCCTGGTGGTGCAGTGGGTTAAACCACTGAGCTGCTGAATGAAGAGTTGGCAGTTCAAATCCAGGGAACAGGGTGAATGCCCACTGTTAGGCCCAGCTTCTGCCAATCTAGTAGCTCAAAACATGAACATGTGAGTAGATCAATAAGTACTACGCTCTCTACGTGGGGTTGCCTTTGAAGACAGCTCGGAAGCTCCAACTAGTCCAACGTCAGCCATGATACTAACAGGAGCGGAGCGCAGGGAGCATACCACTCCTCTGCTGCACCAGCTCCACTGGCTGCCGATCTGCTACCGGGCTCAATTCAAAGTGCTGGCGTTGGCCTTTAAAGCCCTAAACGGTTCTGGCCCAAGCTACCTATCCGAACGTATCTCTGCCTATCAGCCCGCCAGGACCCTAAGATCTTCTGGGGAGGCCCTGCTCTCTATCCCGCCTGCTTCACAGGTGCGGCTGGCGGGGACGAGAGACAGGGCCTTTTCTGTGGTGGCCCCTCGGCTGTGGAACGCCCTTCCCATGGAGGTAAGATCAGCCCCCTCGCTAATGGTGTTCCATAGAAGATTAAAAACTTGGATGTTTGAACAGGCATTTGGTTAATCAGTGCAATGAATGTGATGATCACAGAAATTGAAATATGGACGACGAATTTGGATCACGACTCTAGTTATGAATTGCATTGGGTTGTTACTGTTGTGTAATATTGTATACTGTGCTCTTTTGTTTTAAATTGTATATTGTTGGTTGATTTTATCCTTGTTGTAAACTGCGTTGAGTCGCCGGTTAGGCTGAGAAACTGCGGTATACAAGTAAAGTAAATAAATAAATAAATAAATACTTCTGTAGGAATGTAACAGCACCCGATACAGTCATGCTGGCCACATGACCTTAGAAGTGTCAATGGACAACGTCTGTTCTTCAGCTTAGAAATGGAGATGAGCACCACCCCCCAGAGTCAGACACAATGAGACTTAATGTCAGGGGAAACCTTTATCTTTACCTAGTTCAACTATGTTCAAGTAACTATGTCAGATTGACTTTTCTTAGTCACAAATAGCAACAATTACAATGGAACTTATTTTCAGGTAAGTAGAACATTAGGACTGCACCTTTGCTTCTTTCAACTGGCGCATTAAACAAGCAGGTCTCTTTCAAATACTGCATGCCTCAATGCTTTTGTCAGAGTTCAGAAGCAGTACTTTTCTAGTACAGAAGCAGTACTTTTCTCTTTCTTCCAGAATACTCCAGCCAACACAGCCACTCACCATGCTATGCAGACACTGCTGAGAAGAATTTTCTCAAGCTCCAAGTGTTGTCTGGGGAATGTCAATGATGGTATGAACTGTGATTCTGGGAAACGTGACTACTGGCACCAAGTGGTACACATCTGATGCCATCTTTGGCTGTGCCTCTGCTTTTCTGCCCCATTGCCCAGGGAGAAGGCATCCATTGTCCTTTGGGGGCTTTCACTAGTGGCAGAATGGTTAGTGAGAACTGATAGCACAATATCCATTCACAGAATGATGGATGGGGGAAAGATGTAGGAATGATTGTCAAGACCGATGCCTGGTGAATTAGCAAAGTATGCCTGTGTGCAAGACGGCATCACCAAGGCACCCTAAGGACCCATGAAATAATCTTCCCAGGACCCATTACTTAATGGATGTATCACACTTTCTTCCCCACATGCAGTAGCATATTCAGAGAGGTCACATTTGTTTGAATGCCACAAAGTTGAAGTTCCTCATTATTTGAATTAAGTATCCTTGCCTCCCATAAGCACTGCTCTTTTATTGGCATGTCTGATTGTGTGGAGGCAATGTTTTCACTATGGATGCTAAAACAATAGTAGCATTCAATTGCATAACACAATAGTTATTGTCCTCATGCTGTTTCATGCAGTTTCAGGCTATTTGATGAGGTGCTGGCGGATCTGGCAAGCTATTATGTATGGGACCACGGCTTAGTTTTTTTTTTTTACCAATACCTTAATACCAGAAATTGCATGCACATTAAACTGGCATCATTTTGACTTCCGGTGTGGATTCATGGTAGCAAGACGGAGGTTTTGAGAGCTCCTCAAACCTCAGCGTTTTTTGGAGCGACGAGGTGAGCAAATGGCTCCCCCTGCCCAGTGGATGGAGATTGGGGAGGACGCAAACCCACAGGGGTGTCAGCCGACGGTCTAAAACCCCCCCTCCCCTCAAGGGTGGGGGGCAGAAGACCCGGTAGTGACCCCGCAGGGAAGCGGTCGCCGAAACACGAGCTGGTCGGCTGAGTAAGCGGGCTCCGGCACTTTGTCGTCACACACATTTTAACCTTGAAGAAGTGACCAGTAAGGAACTGTGAGTACACACTCTCTCTAACTCGGTATTTCCAGGAATGGAAGGGAAGATAAAATAATAAATAATAATAATAAATACAGGGCAACTATTTGGCGCTGCAAGCAAAAGCCTCAGATTACTCCGACATAGGAACTACTGATCGATTGATTGAAAGCCCTCAACTTATTGGCTGCCAGCGGCATCTGTTGTGCTGGAAGGAGCCTTGGATACTGTCTACTCGAGCCTTATTCTCCATTCATACAACCGACTTAGGCTGTTCATTGGGCCTGTCCGCCCCCCCCTTTTATTTTGACGATGAGCGATGAATGATGAACGATGAATGATGCGGAGTTGGGGAGAGAGAAAGTAGTGTACTGGTAGGGTACTGGTGAACTACTTACTCCAACTAATTCATTGCCTTCACTACCTCCTCCCCTGCCCAAACCGCCTTATATTACTTTTTGTTCACAATCAGCAAGCCAAAGAACTGGAGGAAGGAGGCAAAATGTCTTTTCCATTCCTCAGTCTTTAGAAAGTTACTTCCAATCGACAACTGACTATATAATTCATTACACAGCTCAAAACATTTCTTGTTAATGCTAGAAAGAGGGTTTTTATTTATTTATGAAAACCCCCACAACTTTTGTTTTTGGTTATTTCATTCCTTTTTGCAGGGATAGGTGAATGGGATACAATTTGGAAAATTTATCTCTAAAATATTTTAAAACACAAGCACTCTCCTCCCAACTATATTATTCATTAGTACCATTATTTTAGCAGCATCTGAAAAACAATAACTATTAATTGCTTTGTTAATATGGAGAAAGCAGAACAGCATGTTATGCATTATTGTATAAAAAGGAATACCAAAATAGTAAACCAAAACAGAATCATTCCAATGGTTTTCACTAAATTGCACCTCTTAGATACGCACAACCACAAATAATCATTTCTACACAATGCAATTATGAATTCAAGTTTCCTTCAGACTAAAAGCACAATAAAATACAGAATGGCCACAACAGCTTGTGGTGGGGACTATTTTCTCCCAAAATGAGCCTTATCTCAGATAACATCTCAAATAAGCTTCCACCAGCTGCAAATAATATATGGCTGTGCTAGATCAGGCATGGGCAAACTCTGGCCCTCCAGGTGTTTCTCTCTGAAAAATCCTATCCCAGTTACATTTTACCTGTTCACGTCAGCATATTTTCAATTTTAATCTATGGCCCGGCCATTTTTAATATGTCATTATTGATTGTTGTTTTTGTTATGTGATTTATATGATTTGTATTTTATTGATTGTTTATCAATGTTGTGTTATTGATGTTTGATGTACTTCGGGCTTGGCCTCATGTAAGCCGCACTGAGTCCCTTGGGGAGATGGTAGCGGGGTACAAATAAAGATTATTATTATTATTATTATTATTATTATTGACTTCAACTCCCACAATTCCTAACAGCCTACCAGGGCCAAAGTTTGCCCATTCCTGTGCTAGATTAATGCACAATATGGGCGAGGAGCTTTGGGAACTTGGTGTGGTCTCAGTATTTGCTGACAATATGGATCCAACTCCCAGAAATTTCCAGCAAGCATGGCCACACACCATGATCAAGGGGGATGCTGGGAGAACAGTCCAAAGAAAACAGTCTTTTAAAGTTTGCTATTATTGTTGTTATGCCTGGACACATATGGCAGATTCTATAACTACTTTGCTCAAATCCTAAGTTGGAAGAACTTGGTTTGGTTTGGTAAGAGGCAATACTGATATGGGTACTCTATGCACATATGACTATCCCTACATGTTAACAATAAATAGGAAGATATGGAAAGCTTTGGAAAGTTATGGCAAACCTCTTTTTGGAGGAGGTTACAACTCAGAAACCTAGCTACAACACCCAGAAGGCCTGAGGCTATGTGATCAGTAGCCATGCAGACTGGAGGATTTTGGGAACTTTAGGTTTCAAAAATAAGATTTCAAGCTCTAACATCGCTTCATTATGATACCTACATCATACACTGAATTAAAGATACATCATAACCTTATCCAATTGACTGTTCTATCATGCATTATAGTCTTTAAAAATAATAAATTTGGGGATGTAATGGTAGGAGAGGCTTGGCTGCCTCTGGAAGGTTGCTTGCAGGCCTCCTAAGAATGTCAGCTAAAACCAGATTTTCAACAAAACGTGTCATTGGGTTTGAAATACATTAGAGATGCCCAGCATCACTGAAAGCTCCTGAATATTCAGGGTCAGACTTTATTTCTATCTAATTTTGAAAGGAATTCCTCATAATCATTCCAATACCCTCAACAGTCCTAGTATGCTCCTGCTTCACCAGGTTCTTCTGCAGTGATGATCCAAAGGAAGCTGCATCCATTGTCAAACTACCACGTTAGCCAGAGGAAAGTTTTGGCCAACCATGGAACTGAGTAGCCCTTGTTGATTTGAGGATGTTTTGGGTGTCAGGTTCCTTGGCTGTTTCTTTTCTGGTGGCATGTCAGGCAACAGCGCTCCTTCTGCCCAGTACTCGTGGAACAAGCATGGCACACAGTGTGTTGACACAACCTGAGAGAGAAAGAGAAAGATTGATTGGGACCACTTAAAAAAGAGAACTGATTTAGTGATCTGTTCATCAGAATGTTTCTGAAGAACGTACACATTATGATCAATAATGGAACTTCATCCTACATGTTCTAACTTGTACAATAACATAGCATGAGAAAAAGGTCTGCAAAGCTGATGAAATCATACTTTTTCAAAAGTGGCTTGCTTCACCCAATGCAGAAGCTGTTGGGATCAAAGTTACAGCCACAGCCTTGATTGCCAATACAGAGGCTTTACACATGCACAAATATTTCCTTTGTATGTGGGATTGTCAATTGAGGCATTTATGTATTCTTGACAATAACTGAAGTGAGGAAAGATCTCGTTATTTTGGGTCTTCCTTTAGTGTTCAAACTATTTGGTCTTGGGTTTCTCAGTTTTGCTTCTGCCTGTTATATCAGAAACTGCTAACCAGACAGAAGTTGGCTGCTTCCTGAGCAACAGGGCAACAAACCACCGCCAATCCCAGTGGTTGTTTCCTGGTAAGTGGGAATTGGGACAGGACTCACTCAGTAGTACCATAACCATGCTGCTTATGCATACTTATGTCCCATACAGTATCAAACTATCACTAAAACTTAAGCCAGTGAAAAACATATTACTGTATATAATAAAGTTAAAACATGTTAACTGTCTCTTTCTTTTTTTCTTATTTCTGCCATGTTATAAAAGGTGACAAACTGTTGAAAAGTTTAGGTGCTCAGTCTGTACTCCTGAGACAGTTCTCATATCACATTGGCTCTTACCACTTGCAAAATCTTCAACATTTTATTCTGAGCCAAGACTTCCCCTTTCTGCAGCTGTTGTTTACTACACTGGCAAAGACACCCTCCAGCTGGAGCATTGAGCATGTTGCAGCGGCAGTTGGGCCGAAATACGGCAGATGATAGGAGAACCTTCATACAAACCTCTTTCTCTTTAACTGGATTATTTGCTACTCCTCATGGGCCATTCTTAAAAAAAATAAATTGTAGAATATTTTCTAATGCTAATGGGAATTTCAATATATTGAACTTTGAGAAGAAAATGGCACAGTTTTGTTGTTGTTGTCCTAGAACTTTACACTGGAACAAAACCTCCAGTGGCAAAAAGTTAAAAGGGACATTAGATTCCCCCTCCCTTTTTTTTAAAATAGCATGTACATGACAAATGTCTGAAACTTGGAGATGCTAGCCAGTATCCTATCACTGACAAGCAAGGATGTAAACATTGAGTACTTTACCATATGTACTTTGATGAACATTGCACAGGGAGATATCAGGCACATCCCTGTGCAATGCCCCTTCTCTTCTGTTCAACATGATTTAGCCATGCAGGACATATCTATTTGTAAGTTTAACTATACTGTATGCTGGGCCCCTGGTATCTACTGGGATTTGGTTCCAAGGCAGTACCATGAATACCAAAATCCATGGATGCACATGTCTCACCATAGGAAATGGTATAATAGAATGATGTCCCTTATACAGCAAATGTGGAATTTTGTTCTTGAATATGTTCAGGACATGGACACAGAATCTGTGGATACAAGGGACCAACTGTACTGTATCTATTTTGATGTGTAAACTGCCTTCAGTCCTGGCTCTGGAAAAATGGCAGATACAAAGGAGGAGGAGCACGTCTTTGAACTTGACCCATGAGTATTTATGTGCAAATGAGCATGTAAGACCCATCCTGTTCAATCATTTGATGCTGAGACCAAATCTGGTTGAAAAAGACCCAGATGACAGAGAGCCATTTGGAACTAGCAATAGAGAAGATGAGCAAGTATTTCTTCAGGCTGGTATTGTTTTCCACTCTGCTTATCTTAAAGAGTATTGCATAGGGCCAATATCTTCACTGACACATTTTATTCCATGTGTATCAGGAATGCTCCAGTGTGGGACCAAAAACACAACCAGGGTGAGGGAGGTGTCTTCTCTTCAAAATGGAAACCTTCACCATACTTTACTTTAGCAAGAGGTTGGCTGCCCCCAGGTGTGGTTATTGAAGTAAGATTCAATTGCCATTCTCTTTAGCCTCCATACTTAAAATTAGATGAGGTTGTTGGACATTTTGCTTTTGCCTCTGGACATTTTGCCTTTTGCCTTTGCAGAATGACTTAGGCTACTGTTCACCTTGGTAAAGAATACTACTAGTTCTTGGACCCAGTCTAGCCAAATATGCCTATTTCCCCTCAGCAGTTGTCAAATACTTTGAAACATTACCTGCACTGGTAGCGACGTGACATGAGCCTGAAATCCTTTTTACAGAGAGTACATGTCCCAGAAGTCTGGGGAGCTGAACACGCCACTGGAGGAGAAATGCCTTCTGTCTTCTGCCACAAAGCATCCTTCTCCCTGTGGAAAGGAAAGGAAGGCAAAGAACAAAAGTGAGTCATTCTCTTTGCTACAAGGACCAAATGGAGACAAAGTTATTCCCCCCCTTCAGATTACTAAAAATTTATAGTTGGTAGGGACCTCAAAGATCACTTAGTCTAGTCTTCTGTGGACACTATTAATTGATTGCAATGGCATCCTGGATACACCGTCATTTCACTGATGTTTAACAATCCCTAACTGAAATAAACCTTCCAAGACAACCTATTCCAAAATCATTTACCAAACCATTTACCAAACATCACCAGGACGTTCTTTTTAATATGCAGTCCTGGTAGTTTGGACCTGGCCTTCTAGTTCCTAACTTTTGAAGCAAGAAAAACAACAACAACCACATTTGTTTCATCATCTACATACCAGCCATCTTCCATTGCTGCCACATGCCACTGAGAGACTTGTCTGTTTATTGTATTTATACTAAATACAAAGTTATTTGATACCCAAATTGTCCTTATATCAATTTTAAGTTGCCCTTTTCCAACTGAAATAGCCTATGCTCTACTTAAGATCTATGTTTCAGGCGATTCATTTTAGAGTTCCCTTCAGCCATCACTTCAGATGCATTTGAAGAAACCAAAGAGGACTATCAAATATAAAGTCATAGCAGATTCTGGAAATGTCACTGTTGGATTACAGGTCATCAAGTTCCCCAGTCAACAGGGCGAGTGATCACTGCACTCCAGAAAATACAATTTTAATCCCTGGTTAGCAACACCTATCAAAATGGGTGGAATGGCATGGCAAAAGTGTATGTGTGGAGTGGTGGTGGTAGAGGAGATCTGCATTTTAGTTTAAACACAAACACATGGAGATCATAGACTTTATGTTTTAGCAAAATTCTATCCTCCAAACTGTGGTTTTCCTTAAGTTAAACTGTGACATTTTTTGCTGCTGAATTTTGGTGGTACAGCAGCAAGTTGCAGTGCAGACCGTGGCTTCCAAAGGGCTGGAGGGAGGGAAGCAACCATACACTACACCAAGTTCTTAATGCCTGGACCACATTGACTGGTAGTTCCTCTCCAGGGTTTTCAGGTAATACTTCTTCCAGCCTTCCTAGCAAATGCAAAGCATTGAATTCTCATCCTTCTGTGCAATGGGTCCTTTCCATCTTCTTTCTGGACTACATGTCTCTTGCTGATCTCAGTCTTCTCTAGTCTGCTCTGATTTGTGTGTGTGTTGGTGGGTTTTCCTCCTTGCCACATATTGCTTTCTAAATCCAGTAAACACAGAAGTCTCTTTCCCCTTGTTCCTCTTGGTCTTCTTTCACTCACCGCAGTAAATCCAGCAGCTTCCCTTTCATACTGCAAATAAGCTCCCCCTGTTCCGACAACTGTTGCTTATATTTATTTTCTTTTTCTTCTGATTCTTGGTGTCTTTTTTCCAACAAGAGCTGCAATTGTTCTTTTTCTTGCTGAGATCTAAGCAGGAGGAAGAGGAATAAATGAAGTAAAAAATAATAATAGTAATAATAACCTTTTTCCCAAAGTGGCACCCAAAGAGACTTCCAAAAACAATAAATTAAAAATATTTACAATAAATATATATTTAACATATATGCTTATATGTATGTGTGTGCATGTGTGTATATATATTTAATAAGGTATATTTCATACACTGCAGACATAAGTGGGTTTTATGGCTCTGTGAATTGAGTTTTATAGTCTTATTAGTCTCTAACCAGTGTGGGCCAAAGGTGAAGAATGATGAAAGCTGCAGTCCAAAAACATCTGAAGGGCCTCATGTTTCCCAGTATGGTTCACAAGATCAAGCAAAATGGCAATTGGACTACAGTATCTAGAGTTAGAGTCACAATGGTGACTGAGCATCTCTCCCAAGAGTCTGGGCTGCTTGTTGCTTGCTACCATGGTCATTGGGTACAGTTCATTACAACCAGTAGAACAGAAATAACAAATGCCAAGAAGAGTCAGTTACCAAGTGTAATAACCACAGTTCATATCATACTGATCAATAGCTCACTGCAAATGAGCTTATCACTTATGAGGCAGGTAAACAGCAGTTGCAGCAAGATAAATAGCATCTTTAGTTAGGATCACATTACATTATTTCTTTTTTGTCATTCTCTTGGTTGGAGATTGTTTGGAAAGCATTTATTATACAAACACAAAGAATAATTAATGACCTCTCATCAGAAGAACATCAGAAGAGGAAAAAATGTCATGTGGTAGGTCCTGCTGTTATCCTGCAGCACTGTGATTTACTTGCCTTGTGTGATAAGGTCTTTACACTCACACACCCAGTAAGGAGCCTTGTGAAGCAGCCAAATGTTTCTTGGAAGGGAACAAGTGACTTTATTGTATAGCAGAAGGTTTATGACAGACAATCAAGAAATGTGTTATGACAGCTTCCCCCAATTTAACAATCTTCCCCTTGTCTCCAACTAACAAGTCCATCTCACTTGCGGGATGAGAGGAATTGTAATCTTATTAATCTGGAGGGTATTGGTTTGGGAAAGCATGGACTCTGTGAGAACTGCTAAAGGTCCACGAGAGATACAGAACATTGGTCCCACTATGAGGCCAAACTATGGACACTAAATAGAGACTAGTTTAAGAGATAACAGGTTTGCTTATAAGGGACAAGTGTGTCAGGAGCTAGTCAGAGTTTGCAGATATAGATATTGCATGTGACCCATCCCTGCTCTAGATCTCTTGGCTAGATCTCTTTTCTGCTTAGAGATGCTGGGGACTGAAACTAAGAGCTTCTGCAAACAAAGAATATTTTCCTGCAGTGAGCTACAGCTCTTTCCTTAAACTACAATAGCAAATGGAATGGGTTTGTTCCCTCACCGGCCCAGCTGCTCTGTGAGATGTTTCGTAGTTTCTGTCTTGGCTGCTAGCTGTTGCTTTGCCTGTTGAACATCGTTTATCATTTTGTCCAGATGGCTATTTAGACACTGTGAGGAAAAAAAAGATAAGGGTTGGAAGAAGCAGAAAAAAATCACTGTCAAACAAGTGTTGGAGACCAGGTGTTTTTTTCTCAAAACTACAGGCTTTCTGTATCTGGAATGGGTAACCGCTGATCTTTTATTTGGCTTCAGTTCCCGGATGCCCTAGCCAACAAGGCTGGAGATTATGGAAGCTCAAACATCTCAGTTCTATAGAACTCCATTAAGAAGCTAAAAAGAAACAATTAGGGATGTATCTACAATGTAAATTTAGTGCAGTTGAACACCACTGCCATGACTCAATCCTATGGAATCGGGGAGTTGCAGTTTTACAAGGCCTTTGGGCTTCTCACCAAGATACAACTCCCATGACCTCATAGCATTGTGTCATGGTAGTTAAAGTAGTGTTAAACTGTATTCATTCTGTAGTGTAGATGAACCTGCCCCAGGTCAATCCAACATCCCATCTAATCTAGTATCTTTTCCAAAGTATATTCAACTCAATATTTATTCTGAGAGTAACACACCAAGACAATAGCAGAGCTTGAAAAACTTATTTGGCATTTTTAAAACTTTCCCTGAATTCCCCAGGCAGCATTGCTACAGGGCAGTCTTAACCCTTCCAGGCAAGAACTGCCTCCCATCTATATAAATAAAATTGTAATGTTCGTTTGTGGGATTAATATAACCCAAAAACCACTGGACGAATTGACACCAAATTTGGACACAAGACACATATCAGGACAACGAGTGACCATCACTCATAAAACCCTGAAAAACACAGCAGAAGAGACTTAAAAAGCCAAAGAACAAAAATTACATTACAACGCATGCGCAAGACCACACATATATAAGCAAACACACATATACACAAATATATGCACACACGTATAAACACATAAAACTCATATAGACAGACTGGGCCACAGCAATGCGTGGAAGGGGACAGCTAGTATTCTATAAAGCCTGAGGCATAGCATTGGCACCAATGGCAGGTGGTGTTCCCACATCAGTGGGACAGTGAATCCACTTTGGGGGTTTTTCAGAATATAAAAGGAACTTCATAAGTTATTGTATCAGTTTTAGAGATGGTATACAGCACTCTGGATATCTTTCAAGAGTCTGTACTAAAACCTGGAACAAATTTACCACTTGTTTTGATATCAGAGCCACTGGCTCATTATTGGCACTGCATAACCCGAGTAGATGTGGCTGGGGTATTTTTCATAATTTCAGTCTGATCTGCACTGAACCACTGTTTTATTATATATTCATTTAGTTTAGAACAATATTTTTGGAACTTGTCACACTTATCCAGGTTTGGTGCCACCTGAAAATTTGTTTTCTCATGTTATACCCTTGGCACCAGGTCTTTTTCTAATTATGTTAAGAAGCACTAATCTCAATGCTTGGTTTACTTACCTGTGCTGCAAGTCTTGCCTATTTCCTTTCTACAGCATGTAGTTTAATTTCTTAATTAACTGAATGCATTCTGTATAAACGTTCTTCATTTCTACAGAGTACCAACGCAGGAATGCTGCTTCTAGTGTTGGCCCAAGATTTTATTCCACAGAAGAAGGATGCCAGTTACAGATGGTGCTCTGGACTAGAAATACTGCATTTCCTAATATCACTTAGCAACATACTATACATGGAAGAAGAGGCTCCTACCTTTCCATGGGCTTGATTTTCATGCTTGCCACTCCTCACTTTCTTGACATCTCTTTCCAAAGCTTGTGGCACACCAGCTGGAAGAATATCTGTGTCCAGTAGTTCTGGCCTTGCTACCCCATGGCTGTTTCCCTTTGTGAGGATGCCCCTGTCCTTGACTGAGACCCTGGCTTTCTCATCTCTGGCCTCAGGTGCTAGTGCTAGCACATTGCCACAAAGAGGAACACTCTTCTCTGTGGACCATTCCCAGTATTGTTCCAGTTCTTCACTCAGCTTCTTTGCTATGTCAGTGGCTTGCTTTTTCTCTTGTTCTAGTTGACTCACATATGTTTTTAGTTGCAGGCACTCCTCTCTTAGGGCAGAGGCTGCAATTTCATTTTTATCCTGCAAGGTTTTCTGTAGTGCTTGACTGATGGCCTTCCCATTCTCCAGCTCACTTCTAAGTTGGGTGCCCTCCTGGATCTGTCCCTTCAGGGCAGCAGTAGTGCTCTCTAAGTGCTTTGACAAAGCCTCTCTTTCTTCAAGGCCTTGCTGAAGAGTGGATAAGAGCTGCTTCTTCTCCTCTTGAAGCATAGCAACCTCTTTTTCAACTGTTCCTATCTGGCTCACTGATTCCTGTCTGGCTCTTTCACACTGGGCCCGCTCCTCAGCTAGTTGATCAATCAGCTGGGATTTCTTGCTAGCCATTTCTTCTAACTGAACTTTCAATGTAGTGTTTTCCTCCAAAACCTCCTGAAGCTGGTCTGTTTGGGCTTGTAGGTCACTTTGCAAGCCTTGCACTTGCCCTTCCTTGTCTTTTAGGACCGTCTCTGTCTTCTGCAGAGACATCTGGAGAGTAACAATATGTTCTTGACACATTGACACTTTCTTCTGAAGGTCCTGAACTTCTAATTTTGTTAACATAAAGTTTTTCTCTTGTGAAATGAGAGTTTCTGTGAGGGCCTCCTTCTCCCTTTCTAGCACCTTTATCTCAGCTAGCCTCCTTTCTAGTTTCTCCCTTAAAAGACCCTTCTTTAATGCTGACTCTACTGTTGTGTCATTTGTCCCTTCTGAGTGTCCTTCAATTGTTTCTAGTTGGCCATGGTGGCTGCTTAAAGCAGCCACTTGGGTTTCCCATCTGTCCAGACTCTTTTCACACACCTTTAGTTTCTCCTGCAGCCCTTGACATTGAGAGATCATTTGCTGGTGCTTCAATTCTTGAGCCTCCTTTTCTGCCAGGCACCTTCTCCGTTCAGTCTCTTGAGAACTCAGCCTTTGTTCTGCCTCCTCAAAACGCCTCTCAGCAGCATCTTTCTTGGCCCATGCCTCCTGGCATTCACCAGTCAGGTTGGCAATCTTGCATTCTGCTTCTCTGAGGGATTTTACTACCTTGGACAGCTCTTGCTGCTGTTTCTCCTGATCTTCCATTTTCTCCTTCTGTTGTTTTTCATGCTTGGCTAGCTCCTCTTTTAGAGCCCAATTCTCCTCTAAAAGGGTTTGCTTCAGAGACTTGTTTTCTTCTTGTTGCTGGGCCAACTTCAGCTGCAAAACACTAAGTTCCCATATCATCGCTCTCAAATCCTTCTGCTTCCAGCAGTTATCATTTTCAGGTGTCATTTGTGGATTCTCCATCTTTTCACAGAGGACATGTTCAGACTGAGGAAGCAAGGAACTAAGATCTTGGCTGGAAGAGGCCTTGCCTGGTTGCTCCTTACTGAATTTGTCCACATGGATCTGTGACTCACCATTTCCCCTCTTCACTTCCTCACCAGAAACTGGATGCTGGGCTTCCCTTTCCATAAAAGAACTCAGCTTTAGGAGGGAGCCCATCTGTAGCAGACTATTCTTTCTGTTTCTCCAGACTCCAACCCACTTCTCCATTGAGTGCTCCCATCCAGGTCTGACTGGATCATCATTTGTTGACTGGGGATCACATAAATCATTGGTTATTAATGAATTCTCATGGCTTTGGGTAACTTCTTGGTTGCTTCCTGGTCCTTGATTTGAGTTCCTAATCTATGAACAATAAACAAATAAACAGTTTGAAATGGAGAGTTGTTATCACATTGAGTTCCAGGAAATTAAAGAAAAGCAGTGAGTGCTGGAGTTGGCTCATGAACAAAAGCTGGGCCTCATATGTCTTATCATACATTGCCACTAAAGAAGAAAGACTAAAGAAAAACACCCTAATGGCAAATGAGATCTTGAAGAACAACCCACAGGTTACCAGATCATAAGAACAATCTGCCATGTCCACACACACATTTTATGTAAGATAGGATGGAGAAGTGTAATCACAATACTTATTACAAACATTCCCTTTCCTTTCACCAGGATGAGCTCAGAGTAAATTCTGCATAGAGCTTAGGAAAGTTACTTTTTCTGGACTACTACTCAGAAACCCCAACCAGTATGGCCAGCCAGCATGACCACTACTTATTTTGCCTGGAGAATTCTGTCAGCAGCAATCCAAAAATAAAACAAAATTTCCCAAGGTCTAGTTCAGCAAGGGTTGAATTATGGAAAATATTACTGGAGGGTGATGACTGGCTACAACTCATGGCATCTTCAGAACACTTCACCTTATACCCAATTTTGCAGCTGTTTCTACAGGCTTCCCTTTTAAAAAAAAAACAAACCAATGTGCGAATACATAAACACACATGAACAAATTTTGAAAGGGCAAGCAACCTGACTAGAATTTGAAGAGAGGGACAACGCATATAGATAAACTAGCTTTCAATTTGGTGGTGTGTCTCTCAGGGACCTTCTGCACAGCCCTTTATCCCAGAATATCCAGGCAGAAAATCCCACATTATCTGAGTGTGGACTCAGATAACCCAGTTCAAAGCGGATATTGACATTCTGGGATATAGGGCTGTGTGGAAGGGTCCTCACACACATACTCAAGTTGGGCTCATAACATGCATGAGGAACTCATGGGGCAGTTTTTCAATATTACAAAATGGCAAAAGTTCTGGAAATCAGACTATGAGGAACAGCTTAGGAAGCTGGACATGTCTATCTGGGAGAAGAATGTTAGCCATCTTAAAGAGGCTGCTTCAGTAGTACCCATTTGGGATAGAATCTGGCCTTTTCTGTTGTGAGAACTGAACTGGCCAGAGCTGTGGAACATTTGGATGTCCACATGTTTTGACCTCTAGTGTTAATCAGCCCCACCCAGCAAGCCAGTGGTAAAGGATTGGGGAATTATAGTCCAAAACATTTGGAGAGCCAAAGGTTCCCCCCTGCTGCAGTAGAAGCAATGGCTCCTGCACTGACTTTCACAATATCTCTGTGGAAGTCAAGGCTATCAGGTCACCTCTGTTTTGGGGTGCAAGGTAAATCGGTACAGGGGAGAGTCAGACTCCGTGGTCCCTTTCACAACACAGAATTCTAATGCTATGATTCCACCTTAACTACCTTAGCTGCATTATAGGAAATCCTGAGGTTTGTAGTTTGATCAGAAACACCAAGGGGTTCTCCCTGAATTGAAAATTCCTGAGCTCTATGGGAAATAAAGTGGAACCATAGTGTTATAACTGTATAGTGTGAAAGGGGCACACCAGTGATGTAAAGCCATTGTTGGGATTTCTCAGCAGGGAGAATCTTGCTATACAATAGAAGAGACAAGGAAGTGAAAGCCACATACCTCAGAAGATGCGTTCTCTGCATTGGTGTGCTTGGCAACTGGGACGGAACGTTGTGGCAAAGCCCTAGAAGAAATATCAAATTTTCAAGCAAGATAGTGACATCCATATTTCATCTCACTCCTCTCATATGCTTTCTATAGCAAGGGTTGTCTTTGCATACTGTATATCTGGAAATGGTTTCAGTGGATAGAGATTTTCCTGGGTAGAGGGCAATTTTCATAATTCAAATTATGTTGTGCTACAAATGTCATGAGGCTTAGCCAACATAAACAATGCTGGGGAAAATCATGGGAGTCACAGAGGACCATAAAAGCCTACCACTTACACTACTATCATGGGTGGAATTGCATCTTCATCCACACTACATATTTATAGCACTATTATTCTACTTCAATTACCATGGCTCCATCCTAACAAATCCTGAGTTTTGTGGTTTGGTCAAAGACATCAGAGGAACTCTGTGGCTAAGAATTGCAATGCCTCTCTCTCAATTCTCCATCAGAAACAGCTAGTGTAGTTTAGTGGTTTAAGCCATGGAAACCCACTGTGTGGCCTTGGACAAGCCATGCCCTTTCATTCTTAGAGAAAGAAAATGGAAGACTCTCCATGAACAAATCTCTCCAAGAAAACCCTTGAGAGGTAAGGATCTCTATGAGTAAGTACACAACAAAAAGTAGGTACCCAACAAAAAACAAACTGTCAGCTCCAAGGTTTCATAACACAGAACTGTGGCTGTTAAAATGGAGTAATCATGCTATAATTCTATAGTGTGCATAGGCCTGATTGAGAGAAAAGGTGCAAGAAGCACATGCATCACAGAAGACAGATAGAAGATGAGGATGGGATGCTGCATAACACACAGTCCATTGAGATTTGTAAGAGTTGAAGGCTGGTGAGAACATGAAGGAAAGGCAGAAAAGAAGGTAAGGTATAGAAATTAGAGATTAAAGAAAGGCATTAACAGAGACTGGAGGATTTTGGCACCTCCAGCATGCTTCTAAAAATGTCTTCTGGCCACTGAGAGTGGGCAGGAAGTACAGTACTCACAGTGAACAGGTGAAAAAGAGAGAAACAAAACTTCTCCATTGCATTGCATTGACCCCAACTTGTATTGCTTGAAAATTGGAAAGTGATGAAATTATGTGAAGAATCCATGGCTTCCCTCATTCTGGGAAACCAGTATCTCCTCCTGCTTACTCACTCAGAAACCATTGGCCATGCAGCATCCAGGTCCGCTCTATAGAGTGCGAGGTGGAAGGTGATGCCTTCTAGCTCATAGAGGGAGCCCAAGATATCCAGCCATAGCTTTTTGTCCAGGAAGGGGCTGCGTGCGTAGTACCATTCACTGCAAAGAGCAAACCAGAGCAGATCCTGAATGCATGCCCTGAACAAATTGCTCCATTGACATTGTGAGTCAGGTATCCTGGGATGTAATGGGCTGTGGGGTGGAGGGGTGGGGAGGACATTTTAGCCACCTAATGTTTGATTTCACAAGGTTATGGGGCTACTTCCTGTTTGCCTGCCTTGTATAATACAGTCCAAATTTTGGAGGACATGATGCTTTAGATGTGTATGCCTCATTGTGACAGTAAAAATAGCAAAACCATGAGAAGAACCCCAAAGTGAAGATGCTTGCATTGGCCAGTTTATTTTAACAAATTCTAATAGTCCTCATTTCTATCAGAAAGTGGTTTCCAATAAAGCAAATAGGTCTTAATTGCCCACTCCAATCCTCAAAATATTTTGGATTACATTGGGGGAATACAGTAATGCTGGGGAAAAACATTCCACATCCAACTATTATGGAGACTGCAGTTATACTCAAACAGGGGAGCCCAAGGGAAGGTGACGCCATAGTTCCTGCTAATCAAAAGACACCAGGGTTTTGACTGTACCATTGCAAGCCTGCCTTATTCTTGCTAAAGATAGAGACAGCCCCCACAAGTGAATGTGTAGGGTAGCAGAAGAACAGATCAGGATTTTTTCTGATAAAATAGAAAATAATAGATCATTTTCTAGCACTATGTCAAAAAGGATCAGATTTGGTCAGAGAAGACAGAAAAGCCATATTTTACTGCCCTAAACAAAATAGCTTGCCATTGTGCCCTTCCTCACTGATCATGGTGACTCAAATATGGTAGTTATGTTTGCTTTTTGGGAGGTTTAAATGCTGGAATTGTGCAATTACACTAAATAATAACAATAACAATAATATTAAGGAACTGAAGTAGTGAAGGGTGGTGGGCTTGCGGGGAGCATGGAAGTCTGAACGCGATGCCACAGAATTTGCACCAATGAAGAGAGGTACAATATTACGTATGCTAACACGGCTGTCCTGGCATAGAGGGTTGTTGTGATAAAGTACATCTCTATCTCAGTGGTTCTCAACCTGTGGGTCCCCAGGTATTTTAGCCTACAACTCCCAGAAATCCCAGCCAGTTTACTAGCTGTTACGATTTCTGGGAGTTGAAGGCCAAAACATCTGGGGACCCACAGGTTGAGAACCACTGAGCTAAACCATAGTGGTTTTTTTCAGCACAGAGCATCCTTACCTGGTGACTTCTGGTTCCATGAAGCAAAGCTGCAAAGTTTCAGCCAGTTGCCGATGGACCAGGCAATAGCGGAGAAAAGCACGTCCTTTCCCTAAAGATGTTTTTAGCTGCTCGAGCAAACAAAGACACACTGATGTACATTCATGGATTGAAGAATCATCTAATGTCACTCTATTTGCAATAGTATATACAAAAGCTTCCAAACAGAGCAGATAACAAATAAATCCATCTTACTTTGTCCAGGGAGGTGACATGTTGCAATCCTTCATGGATTCCACTGTGCAGTCTTGTCAGGACTCTACTCAGAAAATCCCAGTAATCTTTCTTCTGCCCAAAGAGATTTCTCTTCTCTTTCAGATCATACTGAAATGATAAAATGGGACGGGATGTGTGTGGAGATAATGGCCTTATTCATTAGTATGAGTTCTGTGGATACTTCCATAGTTTCAAATTGCTAGATATTATGCTAAGTGCTGTGCTGAATGTATTTCTTATTATCAACAGAATAAATAGGCTTCACCCCATACGATCCACTAGATTGTGGTTCCCTCATCATGCAGTCAATTTTTAAGTAGAGGTAGTCACGGTGGCAGTCCCCAAAAAGCCGAGTGGAGCTTTCTCACCTGGTGCACTTTTCAATCACTAATTCTCCTCAGCTAGGAAAGGGGATAGAACAGGAATAGAAGAGAACTGGGATGCAATCTGCTCCTAATCTCAAAAACTCCAGGAAGTATCAAGGGAGAGGCAAGAAAATTATTCTAACTCTTTTGTTGTTGTTGCTGTTCAGGGAAATTCAGAGGCAAGTAATCTGGTCTCATCTGGTGATGGCAGGATCTGGCTGAAATTCTATTTATTTATTTATTTAGCAGTTTTGTATACCGGTCTTCTCACCTCCATTCGAGGGACTCAGGCCAGTTTCCAACATCAATATTACAGACGGTCATTAAAACATTATATTCTAAATCACACTAAAACATTAAAATAGCAAAATACAATCATATAATTACAGTGGTCAGTCGTCATCAAAAATCATTATTTGTCATCATCCATCCATATCACAGGATCATGGCTCATTCGTCGAATGCCAATCCCCAAAGCCAAGTTTTCACCTGTTTCCTGAACGTTAAGATAGAAGGGGCAGTTCTGATCTCCAGTGGAAGGGAGTTCCAGAGTCAAGGGGTCACCACCGAGAAGGCCCTGTCTCTCGTCCCCACCAGCCGCATCTGTGAGGCCGGTGGGATCGAGAGCAGGGCCCCTCCAGACGATATTAGCAATCTTGATGGTTCAAATCCTAGACTGGAGTCAGCTAGTTTCAGAAAGTACCAACTAGTAGTGGTACTGAGACAGCCTTGGTCGCCTTAGTGGATGATCTGTGCCGGGAGCTCGACAGGGGGAGTGTGTCCCTGTTGGTGCTGCTGGACCTCTCAGCGGCCTTCGATACCATCGACCACGGTATCCTTCTGGGACGCCTCGCGGGGATGGGCCTCGGAGGTACTGTTTTGCAGTGGCTCCGGTCATTCCTAGAGGGTCGGTCTCAGAAGGTGTTACTGGGAGACACCTGTTCAACCCCACAACCGTTGTCTTGTGGGGTTCCTCAGGGCTCTATACTGTCTCCCATGTTGTTCAACATCTACATGAAGCCGCTGGGTGAGATCATCCGGAGTTTCGGGGTACGGTGTCATCTGTACGGATGATGTCCAACTCTGTCACTCCTTTCCACCTGCTACTAAGGAGGCTGTCCAGGTCCTGAACCCGTGCTTGGCCGCTGTGACGGTCTGGATGAGGGCGAACAAATTGAAATTGAATCCAGACAAGACAGAGGTACTCCTGGTCAGTCGCAAGGCCGAACAGGGTATAGGGTTACAGCCTGTGTTGGATGGGGTCGCACTCCCCTTGAAGACACAGGTTCGCAGTCTGGGTGTGACCCTGGACTCATCGCTGAGCCTGGAACCCCAGGTTTCGGCGGTGACCAGGGGAGCATTTGCACAGTTAAAACTTGTGCGCCAGCTGCGCCCGTACCTTGGGAAGTCTGACTTGGCCACGGTAGTCCACGCTCTGGTTACATCCCGATTAGACTACTGCAACGCTCTCTACGTGGGGTTGCCTTTGAAGACTGCTCGGAAGCTTCAAATGGTCCAACGTTCGGCAGCCAGGTTGCTAACAGGAGCGGCACTCAGGGAGCACACCACTCCTCTGTTGCGCCAGCTCCACTGGCTGCCAATTTGCTACCGGGCACAATTCAAGGTGCTGGCTTTAGCCTATAAAGCCCTAAACGGTTCTGGCCCTACTTACCTCTCCGAACGCATCTCCTCCTATGAACCGACTAGGACATTAAGATCGTCTGGGGAGGCCCTGCTCTCGGTTCCGCCCGCATCGCAGGCGCGGTTGGCGGACGAGAGACAGGGCCTTCTCGGTGGTGGCCCCCCGGCTGTGGAACGCCCTACCTGTGGACATCAGACAGGCCCCCTCACTGCTGGCATTCCGGAGGAAGGTCAAGACCTGGCTTTATGAACAAGCGTTTGGCTAATTGTGCAATGAAACACAGTAAGATGGTACAACTGAACATAGGAATTGGTATAAAGGACTATGATTGCGGATTCTGATTTTGATTTGTTTGCTGAGGCGCACGTCTATGTTAATTGATTGCTTGATTTGATATGTCTTGTATAATGTGTTTTAACTGCTTTTTGATATTGTTGTGTTAACCTTTACTATGTAAACCGCCTTGAGTCGCCTTTTTTGGCTGAGAAAGGTGGTATAGAAGTAAAGCAAATAAATAATAAATAAATAAATAATAGTGGGGCAAGGATTCACTGCTATGCCTTGTCAGGACTCTACTCAGAAAAGCCCAATAATCTGGTCCATATCTGCAATGACTATTGGAATGTTCTAGATTATGATTGTGGATGGTGTGGTTTTTAACAGTTGATGTAATGCTTTAAATGTTTAGTTTGCAGTTTTAATTTAAATGTCTATTATAATTGTTTACTGTTTTATGGCATTGAATTATTGTCTATATATAATGCCGTCTTGAGTCCCCTTCAGGGTGAGAAGGGTGGGGTACAAATATAATAAATAAGTAAATAAATAAATAAATAAATAAATGCCCAGTCTGTGTTTGTAGAAAATAAACAGGAAGTCACTTGCAAGCATCTCTCTCTATATAAAAAAGGAGTGATTTCTTTTACCTCTAGAATGGGAAGCATTTCAAGGAAGGGAAGAGGAGTTATGGAAGGATAAACTTATTAGAGCGCTATCAGTGGGCTGAATTTCTGACCCTTGGTGGGCCAGGGTTAGAAATTGATAGAATGAAGGTTTCCTTCTCTTCTGTATCAGAAATGCTTTTTGTTTACTCTGTTCACAATCCATGCCCTGATGTGATGTATCAGGTGCCATACCTGCAACAAGAACTCCAGCTGGGCACAGAACTGTTGCAGCTCCCGACTACCATCTGTCACTGGTAGTCCCCGTGCCTGGTAATTTGTATTTAATTCCATCACAATACCTAGACAAGGAAAGAGATGGGGTTAGTCACCTAATTGTATTTAGTCATACCTTCTAACGCTGAATTTTGGGAGAGGAGCTTGTGGACAGCTCTGTTGTCAAAAATGAAAGCAACAAGAAACAAGGATAGATGCAGGCTCAGGGGAACCAAGCCATTTTCAGAAATATACAACAATCAACTGAAATGGGGATAAACAGCAGAAGGAAGGGAACGGTAGAGGTGAAAACAGCCTGTCAGGACCAAGATTGAGTTGCGTCTTCTTCACACCTAGAAAACTGGGGGCACCGACACACATTTAAATAGAGGTAAATTATAAATGTATATATACATTTGGACATTACTTGGTATTATTATGGAAAAGATACAATGAGTCACAATGAATGAAAATACTGGGCTAGACATTTCTTTGTGCTGATCCGACATAGCTTTATTTAGTTAGAACTGTTCAAGCCATATCAAATTCATGAGCAATTGTGGGCTTCTTGTGGGCTTCTAGTCCAGAATACTGGATTAAACAAAGCTTAAGCATGGGTTCATAAACCACTGACACATGGCACAAAGTAGCAATGTTCTGCAATGTTTATAGTCCTATATTTGATCCCAAAATGTCAAATTAAATTAAGAGACAGGAAACCTTTTGGTCCCTCAGATCTTTTGTACAGATTGAGTATCCTTCATCTGGAAATCTGAAATTCAAAGAGCTCCAAAATCCAAAATAGTCCACATGGAGGGCTGGGATGGTGACACTTTTGTTTTCTGATGGCTCAGTAAACACAAACTTTGTTTCATGCATAAAATATTGAAATATTATGTATAAATTTCCCTTCAAGTTATTTGCATTACATGTATATGAAACAGAAATGAATTGCATTTTAGACTGAATCCTATTTCCAACATATCTCTATATTCTGAAACCTGGAAAAAAAATGCCAATTCCAGAACACTTCTGAGGTCATCCAAACCCTCATTCCCTCATTCTTCTCAACTGACTATGGCTAAGGCCAGATAGAGGGTCACAGCTGCCCACATCTGCACAAAACCTCCCTCAGATAATGCTAACAGTTGTACTAAAAGTGTCATTTACGTACTTACTCTCTAAATCTCTGATCACACGAAGAAGCTCTCTGGTAGTCGCCATGGATCTGCTTCACCCACTCTGCAATGGAAAATGCTGTTCATTATGGGAGTTAGGTAGCACCAGTCTGTAGATTGCTCATGGTTCTGTTCACTCATTCTTGTCCTGGCACCATATCTATGTAACATAAAACTCCAGATGTGAAATTTCACCAGTGCCACTACAGCCTGGGACATAGTTATGCGAGGCACAAGAAGAGGCAAAGTAACAAGGGAATGTGGATACAGCAAACAGCAGAGCTCTTGGTGTGAATAATTCTCAATGGCTCACTCTGCAATGCTAGACATTTGGGAGTGGAGGGGACACTTCATTTCGTTTCATTTGGGAGAACATTATTCCTATCAGGGTACAATATCCTCATTTTGGCCTCTTGTAACTGCATGCCTCAAGCTGGTACCAAAGAAAATCAAAAGCCGCTCCCAAAAGAGATGGAAATGTACCAGCATGTTTCAACAGAAGTGGCAATAGACAGAACGTGTCAATCTAATAATAATAAAAAAATTGAAATCTACAAAAGTATTAAATAACATCCATAAGAAATTAGAGCTCTGGTCTAAAATAAGGATGTTGGAGTTCTGGTCCAACATTGCAAATCAAAGCTATAGTCTGAGACATCAGTTTAGTTGAGGAGGAATGATGGAAAGCACAGCTACATGAGGACACAAAAGAATGTTATGGGTCGAGAGGTACTCAGCTTACAGAGGAAGAGTTGGGAAAAGGCGACAACAAAATGAGTGCAAGATGCGGATGAGTGGCTGCAAGATGGCCTACTTCAAGAAGATTCTTAGGACTTTATTGCATGAACATGCCATTCCATTGCAGTTGCACTATTACAGATAATCAACTTTTGGTATCATACTTCACTTCAATAGTCCAATTGCACTGATTCAACAATTTGTGGTCCCATGATCATACTTCTGCATATCTTTGTAACATCACTTTGTTTCACTACACTGTTCTGTATTTTTTATTTTGGGCAATTTTGCAATATCAGCTTTGAAATACAAAAATGACAAATATAACAATATAAAATAGCTATAAAATAGAAAACAGACAGCTTGGGAATAGCAGAGAGAAGGATGAGAGGAGAAGAATCCTACCCCTTGATGTCACTTTATTGCCATTCGCTGGTATAGAAGCAAAATAGATCCATCGAACCAAGACAGATGATGGGAATGTTGCAGGATTGTGAACTTTAGTGAGGGACAAGATAATCACTGGAAAGAGGCAGACCAGAAGCAGTGATGGGCCAGCTCAATGTTGGCTTGCCTGCCTTCTGCAATAAAGTCCTTAGTGACTATTGTTTCAGGAGGCCTTCTTACGGAAGATCTAGTCCGGCAGACATTTGCCATCTTCAGTTAGTTGCTTTTGTTCCTTGTTTATCTAGTGAATGAATAATTGCTCAGAGTCTTGGGTCTTCTCTGGGTAAGAAAAAAAATACATGCCAAGGTTTTTCCTTCAGCTAGCACAATGTGACTGCTAGTCATATCTGAATATTAAAAGTTTGCAAAATATTGTGGGCAAAGTGAAGAAGAGCTGTGCCACATATTATGAACATAGTCTGAGGCAGTAGGTTTCTGTGATGCTCATGCAAGAATATCCCACAAAACATGCAACCACTGCCACTGATTTGTTAACTAGGGAAAGCAGATATCTCTGAGCAACAACATACCCTGCTTTGAATGCTGGCATGAGATGTAACTACTCTGCCACATAAATGCTCTTTTGATTTAAATCATCTGAATTCAAGCAACCAGAACTCTTGAGCAACTGGCAAAAAATAAAAATAAAAGGAATACTTTATATAAAAATTAAAACACATGTATAATACATTAAAACACTGTTACATTAAGCTATGTTTATCTTCATTTGTGCTCCTTTATGAATACCTATAGTTATGCGCTGTAAACAACAGAACAACTTACAGTCGGGGAAAGGAAGGCAGTGTGGGATGTAGCAACGCTGTCACCCAAACAGTTCACTGCCACTCCCACTCAGCCCCCTAAGATTGGCTGACGCCATTCCCATCCAAGAGAACAAGACTGAACAAGTTTTGCCTGAAGAACCTGAAAATATATACTGCCCCAACAAATGTTTTGCTGTTTGAGGCAATAAGCAAGGCGATGCCTACTTTCCTGTTCCAGATACAAAAGTCAAGGAATTGGTTTCAACACTGATGATGGGACAGCACCCTCCACCTCCAGCCCAGCTCTTGTGTCTAGGGCAGGAATCGTGCATCCTACATGGTTGCATTTCAGTTCTTAGTAGCTCTAGTGACAGCAGCTAATGCTAAGGAATGCCACCATTAGTGACTTAACAACTTTTACCCCTGACTTAGATGTTGCACAGCTATTTCCTCTGATACCTTGCTGCCATTCCCAGCAATGGCCATATCAAATGACTGCCTCATTCTACCTCACATAGAGTCTCTTGAATATGGTCACACATTTCCCAATCCAGCACTAGACTGAAGATGTTCCCTGTCACTGAAGATGTACACTTCTCTGGCATACAAAATCTTGTTATAATAATACTTTGTGGACATTTTACTACAAGCAATCCAAAATGCAATATCAAAAAAATTTGAGCATTGGTTGTCTCTTTGTGAGGAAAGCATGCCATAGCACCTAAGGTTCATATCTAGAAGGCCTTCCTTCACTGTGTTTTCTTTAGGTTTCCCTGTCCTGGCTTCTCCTGTTCCTAGTTGTCTTCCTACAAAGCCCAAGGAGGAGAATAGCACATACCTGGTCTGAGCAGCTGGACTTCTACCACACCCTGCATAAAGCCTGGCCCCTGAACCACTAGTGCCTCTGACCTCATCTGTTTGAATGCTGAGGTTGGTCTAGGAGCAGCTTCCTCTTTCTTTGGGGAGTCATTGCTTCCCAAAGGAAAAGCATGACGCTGAGATGGCATCCAGGGGAAATTCCAAGAAAGGCACTCATGACTGTGACACAATTCAGATATAGCCATCTCTCCAGTATATACAACACTTTGGGTTACAGGTCCATCCCTACCTTTAAACAGAGCGAGGCAACTGACGCATGTGCAAGGTATAAGGACAGGAGGATTGCCAGATATCAGGGCCTGGTCCCGAGTCTCAATTTTTGTGAATTATCTCTTAGCAGGAAGTAAGGGTGCAAGGCTCCTGTTTTGGAGGGCCCAGTAAGACAAAAGACATGTGTATAAATCTCCCACTCACCTAGTAGTTCGCTACAATTTCCAAGGATTACTTGATTTCTTGCTGAAAACTGCTCCTTGCTTAGTTAGCATCCTCTTGCCCTCCTGGATGTTGTTTCATCAGAGTTCACCCTCCATTCTGCTCTGTACCTGCCTTCAGATTAGAAGGAAGTAAAGGTAAAGGTTTCCCCTTGACATTAAGTCTAGTTGTGTTCGACCCTGGAGGGTGGTGCTAATCTCCATTTCTAAGCCAAAGAGCTGACATTGCCCGTAGACGCCTCCAAGGTCATGCGGCCAGCATAACTACATGGAGCATCGTTACCTTCCTGCAGAAGTGGTACCTATTGATCTACTCACAGTTTCATGTTTTCGAACTGCTAGGATGGAAGAAGCCAGGCTAATAGTGAGAACTCACCCACCCTTAGGGTTTGAACCACTGACTTTCTGGTCAGCAAGTTCAGCAGCTCAGCGGTTTAACCTGTTGTGCCACCAGGACAAGTAGGCTAAAATAAATATTATTTATCCCATCATCTTGCATTAGAAGAAATAGTCACATTTCTTCTTGATCTAGGACAGTGGTTCACAACCTGTGAGCCCCCACAGGTTGCGAACCACTCCCAGAAATCCCAGCCAGTTTACTAGCTGTTAGGATCTATGGAAGTTGAAGGCCAAAACATCTGGGGACCCACAGGTTGTGAACCACTGATCTAGGAACTGCCTCTTTAGTCTTTATATCTTAATTTCCAAACATCAAAATAGTTCCTCCCCTCTCTCATTCTCTCTCTGTATGTCTGAATAACCAGTTCTAAGCAACTGTAATAAATACTGCATCAAGCCTAGACAGTGGAAATTTAGGCTTTGATGGGTTAATCAGTGAGCCCTGGTTCAAAGTCAATGGTATACCACCCTATCCATAAGAGGAAACATTTCAGGCTGCCTGCTGGAACTAATAGTCATGTTCAACTACATTGGTGTATTAAATCCATGTGGTTCCAGTAACCCCAGTGGATACCAAAATTTATGGAATTATATATGATGGTGTAGTAGAATAATGCCCCTTATAAAGAAGGTTTCCTCTTGACATTAAGTCTAGTTGTGTCCAACTCTGGGGTGGTGGTGCTCATCTCCATTTCTAAGTCGAAGAGCCAGCGTTGTCCATAGACACCTCCCAGGTCATGTGGCCAGCATGACTGTGTGGAGCAACATTACCTTCCCACCTACTCACATTTGCTAGGTTGGCAGAAGCTGGGGCTAACAACAGAAGCTCACCGCGCTCCCCAGATTCGAACTGTTGACCTTTTGGTCAGCAAGTTCTGTAGCTTAGCTGTTAACCTGCTGCACCACCATGGCCCCTTATATCAATTAAGATGTGCTTTTTGGATATTTTTTAAAAATATATTTTCAAAATGTGAATGGTTGAATCTGTGAATAATACAATATCTGTGGGTCTAGAGGGCCAACTATAAGGAATATAAGAAAAAAGCCAAAGGTATAATACCATAAAAGAGTTTCCAGTTGATCAAGGAACCTGATAAAATGACCACGCAAGTATGCAGGGGCAGCATAACAATTTTAGGAATCTATGGGGAAAACACAGAATTGTAAGCATCAAATGGCGAAATGAAGGCTTGCCTGTCGGATTTAAAACAAAATATTTTCGAGCGGCGGAGAGTTGAACCCGTGGATAGAGAATCCGTGGATTCGGAGGGCTGTGTTTACTTTCACTTTTCGAGAGCTGGGAAATTGGTAAACTAGAAGTTCCCTGAAGATGCTCCAGGAGGGGCCAGGCCGGAGGTAAAGCAGGGAAGAGATTCTTGCAAGGCAACCCAAGGATGAGGCTCGGGGGCGCGGTGGGGCCACGGAATTCTGCATTGCAGAATTAGTGCAGTTTGAGACCACTTTGAACTGCCTTGGCTCAATAATACGGAATCATGGGAGTTTTGTAGTTCTGATAAAGTCTGTGGCTTTCTCTGCCAGGTGGTGCGGGTCGAAATACAACTGTGATTCCCTAGCACTGATTTTAAGTGGATTTTTTCCTCTAGTGTGAGTCTAAAGTCTGGCTGCACTCTGGGTCTCCTTTCCCTCCAGCCAGCTCCCTCCTGGGAAAGTCTGCGCTGGGATAGACCTGGGAGCCCTCGGAGTTGAGGCTCCTGCTGCCTTTGGGGCGAAAGGAAGGCTCCTTTGGGAGACTCACCTCTAGGGAGGGACTGCTCCCCGGGTCCTTGGCCGCCTCCGAGGCCTCGCCAGCCCCAAAGCGAAAGCAGGAAGCCGCTCGGAGGGAGGGAGGGAGGGAGGGAGGGAGGAAAAGCCCCTTCCTGGGCTCAGCAGGCGAGGAGGACGGCGACACAGAGAGGCAGAGCAGCTTCCTCCCCGGGCACAAAGGCAGCAGGGGGAGACAGAGGGTGCACCTACACTGCAGAATGAATGCAGTTTCACACCACTTGGACTGCCATGGCTCCATGCTGTGGAATCATGCAGTTAAGATGTAGGATTCGGGCCCCGCCTGTCTTCGCTATCACATCTCCCACTATGAACCGGCTTTAAAGACGGGCTCAAAGCCAACTTTAAAAACTCTGGCATAGACACTGAGAACTGGGAAGCCCTGGCCTTTGAGCGTTCCAGCTGGAGGTCAGCTGTGACCAGCAATGCTGTCGAATTTGAAGAGGCAGGAATGGAAGTCAAAGGAGATAAACTTGCCAAGAAGAAGGTATGTCAAGCCAACCCCGACCGGGACAGCCTTCCATCTGGAAACCAATGTGCTCACTGTGGGAGAAGATGCAGATCAAGAATAGGGCTCCACAGTCACCTCCGGACCCACCAGTACACTGATCCTGGAAGATTATCCTACTCAAACAACAAGGGAACACCTAAGATAAAGAGATGAACTGGTGCAAACTTTAAGATCTTCCGGGGAGGCCTTCCTCTCACTCCTACCACCATCGCGAGAGAGGGCCTTCTCCATGGTGGCCCCCTGCCTCTGGAACACCCTTCTTAGAGAAATAAGGCAGCCCCCATCCCTCCCCTCCTTTCGTAAGAGCTTGAAGACCTGGTGGTTTCAACAAGCCTTTGAGAACGACTAGTTCTAGCTCAGCCCCAGATATGGTCCAGCTCTCACATCCATAGGTGACTATGGGGAATACCATTGCTTTAACTATGCATATCTTCATTGCCAGGGTGATGTCTCTACTCTTCACTATTTTATTGAGATTGGACATTGCTCTCCAAATATGCTGCTGAACCGCTGATCTGAAGGCTGGCAGAACTGCTGACTTTTTCTAGGAAAAGGGACCCAGTTTATGTCCAATAGAATACTGGTCAAGTGAAAATCTAAAATACTTGATCAGATATACTAATTTTAGCCTGCAATCAAAGGCAGTAAGTGTTCTTTCTGAGTAGACATAGATTAGCCAGGTTACTCCCACACATTCAAAATTAGGTTTGACTCATGTACATTTTGTAGTGGGAAGACACAATTTATATTTGTGTGTCATTTATAGCTGATGCTTTGCACATGCGATTGGTGCTCAGGAATCAGTTCCAGAAATACAATCCGAAAGAAGTGCCCATGGACCCTGGTTCATTAAGGCAAATGAAACACTGCGTCACCCACTTTCCATAAGCAAACATGGAACAACTTAGTCATGTTTGTATTTTTATTTTATTTTTTGCTTAAAGTGTGTGGTTGTTAGCTGCCTTGATTCCCCTCAGGGAGAAAGGCAGGGTATAAGCAAAGTAAATAAATACATAAATAAAATCAAACTGTAATTAAACATCAGATTTTTTTCAATTATCTAATTTCCCCCTAACCTTTCTTTTTAAAATTAAAGATTTCTGCACAGTTCTTTCTTCTTCAATCTCAACACCTCCTTCTGTTTATCTCTTTCTCCAAGCTGCTAAAAACATATTTGGGTATCTCTACCGTTAACATCAGTTACAAACATGCCTAAGCAATGCTAAGCTAAGTCACGCATCCAGTCTCATCGTATTCATAAGGCCTTATTCCCTAGTAAATGTGTTACGATTATAGCCGCAGGGCTTAAGCTGTTAACAACTCCCCCACATTGTTTAAAGGTTATCTTTTTAAAGTGCACCTTGTGCTTGAAAGAACAGACATGGAGTTTGAGGCATGTGGGGTGTTGAAAGGTGAATGGATCCCTACATGCTGTGTACTACCACCATCTACTGGACACAAAGGGAAATAAATACAATTGAGAATTGTTATTTGGAGCTGATGAAAAATGGGAATAAGTCTTCTTGCTCTTGTCAGTGAATGAAAAAAATTAGGGTGATAAAAAGTCATTTCACATCTTATAGATATTTGGAAATGAAGATTTTAAGAACAACTGTGTTACAGCAATGGTTAGACAGGTGAATTGAGGGCAAGAGAACCCAGGTTTATATACCCTCAAAACATGTGTTAACATGGTAAAATGCAGTTTGAGGCTACTTTAATTGCCATGGCTATGGAATCCTGGGAGTTGTAGTTTGGTAAGGCACCAGCACTCTTTGACGCAGAAAGCTAAAAACTTTGTAAAAGTACAACTCCCAGGATACCCTAGCCTTGAGCCATGGCAGTTAAAGTGGTGTCAAACTGCATTAATTCTACAGTGTAAAGGTAAAGTTAAGTAAAGATTTCCCCTTGACATTAGTCAGGTCTGACTCTGGGGGGGGGGGGTGGTGCTCTTCTCACTTTCTAAGCTGAAGAGATGGCGTTGTCCATCGACACCTCCAAGGTCATGTGGCTGGCATGACTGCATGGACCACCATTACCTTCCCACCTATTGATGTACTCACATTTACATGTTTTCAAACTGTTAGGTTGGCAGAAGCTAGAGCTACCAACGGGAGCTCACCCTATCCCGTAGATTCGAACTGCAGACCTTACAGTCAGCAAGTTGTGCAGCTTAGCAGAACTTGCTGACAAGTTTAACCTGCTGCGCCACCACGGCCCACAGTGTAGATGCACCCAAAGTCATGAAACCCCTTGGATGAGTTTAAGTCAAACACTCCCTTGCAGACTAACACACCCAGCAAGAATAGTTTGAGAATAAAACAAGGTTGTGTGATGACATTTTATTAGAGATGGGTGGGATTGAAATGCTCGAAATAAGTGAATGTATTTGATCAGAAACTACAAGCATATCCAGCTCCATGATCACTGAAAGCAAGGATTTTGCTTTGTTGGATGCCTTCAAGTCATGTATAACTTATGGTGACTCCAAGGTGAACTTATCATGAGGTTTTCTGGGTCTAAGAGTGTGCAAGTCATGCAAAGTCACTCCCATGGGTTTCAAAACCTGGTCTCCAGAGGCATAGTTCAATGTGCAAACCACTGCGACACTCTGGCTCTCGTGTGTGTGTGTGTATGTTTGTATGCATATATGCATGTGTACACCCACTAATAATGTGAAATGATCCACAAACATTCAGAGAACATGTGCATCCTTGAATAGGATTCCAAATGCATCCGCTCTTGAATGTGCAGGTAACTCTGAGAAATCAAACTACAAGTTAATTTTGGAAAACAGTGCTATACGAATCTATATAAATAGAATCATCCACTAAAAGCGTTTTTTTAAAAAACAAAACCCTCACTGTCAAACATTGCATGAATCCACTAAGAGTTAGAAGATCGGAAGCACTAAGCACTTGCCACTTCCTCCACAGCCCAAGTGCCTTTAAATCTGTATGAGGAACAGAAATTTGGAGTGACAGTTTTTCCCAGCACAGAGGAACTTCTTGGGTTGAATTTTTGCTTGCTGAGCATGCTCTGGACACATCCAATGATGTAATTCTTCATCACTCATTGGCCCAATATTTACTTGCATATTTCTTGTTCACAGACATTTCCTCCTTAAAACTGAAACCTTGCATTTATGTTTTTCTAAAGCAAATTGAAATCTATGGCTCTGCATTTAGATGGATACACTTTAAGAAGCTCTGATGTGTCCATGTGGGCTTTTTCAGGTATTAAGTGGCTGAGAGCTTCAATGAAAAAAGATTGATGTTAACAGATTTGGGTAAGTGGGTAGCACTCAGAAATTTGGCTCTTGAAAATAACACATTTGAAGGAAATTTCCAGCAGATTCTTTCTAAGGACCCATCCAGAAAGGCCCAGAATAACCACGGTTATTCTGAATTAATTAAATACCCATTAGACCCGGGCCTTCCGGGGGGGGGGGAGCCAAATCATTCCTGCCCCCCCCCTTTCCTGGTGCATCAGGAGAACTCACAGAGAAGCTTAATGGCAGCCCAGTAAGTTTTTTAAAAACATTTTTAAGGCTTGTTTGGGGGGTTTGGGGCTGGGTGCCATTTTGGTAGTCATCAGGATTGCATCTAGACACCCCACTGGGAAAAAACTGTTGTTTTGGTGGTGGTGGTGGTGGTGGGGGCTATGGGTACTCAAATCACTTCAGCATGAATTTGAGTGCTGTCTGGAAGTGCCCTATGTCTGCAGAACAAAAATTACTAATTAGACTTTATTAGCAGTTCAAAGCATTGTAGTAGGGTTGTTTTTCTTGTGTCAGGAGCAATTTGAGAAACTGCAAGTTGTTTCTGCTGTGAGAGAGTTGGCTGTCTGTAACGACATTGCCCAGGGGATGCCTGGCTATTTTGATGTTTTACCATCGTTGTGGGAGGCTTCTCTTATGTCCCCGCATGGAGAGCTGGAGCTGACAGAGGGAGCTCAACCCGCTCTCCCCAGATTTGAATGTCTGACCTGTTGGTCTTCATTCCTACTGACACAAGGGTTTAACCCATTGCCCCACTGGGCACTCAATGGGTGACATGAGCAATATGCATTTACTTCTTGTAATTTCCTTTGCATGTGAAAAATACTATATTTAAATTTCCTTTTGGTTTTTTAAAAAAAGTCTCACAACATACTTATTAATTAAAATGTGTTAATTGAGGTTATTTTTGTCATTACTTCTGAAAGGTATATTCCACAAAAACATATTGTACAATGACAAAAGCCAAACTCTTTAATTTTTGTCACTGCCTCCCCAGTGTAAACTACATGTCCGCCTGCTGCCTGCCAGATATGATGCATTGTATGGAAGCTAGGACAGACCTGGTTCCTGAATGACTGGTCTCCTTGCTGCCATCACCGATCAGCCGCACAGTCAAGTGCCCTTTTCACTATTTGGCTTGCCCTGTGTATGTGTAATGCCTGTTTATAGGGCAGCGTCTCAAACTCCCCATTACTCTGGTTTAACATCCCAGCCTCCCCTCCCCTCCCCGTTGTTCATTGACAAGTGAAAACGTGTCACACAGCAGAGGCTGCCAGCAAACATCAGGAAGGGGACAATGCCTGATGGCTGCAACGCCAGACATATTTCACAGAGACAAGAGCTCCA